TATAACATTAAAAAGGTTATGTATTTAGTGAGTAGTTGGTGAAAAAAGCATTTCACGTATGTTATAATAAACTCAAAGAACACATCACCACAGTTGAAAGATGAAATTGCAGTTAAAGGATGTTTAAATAGGAAAAATGGTGTCACTTTTCACTTCAGTTATTTAAAATAATCGCAGTTACATGTAGTGTGCTTTCCAGTTTTCTACCACGGGTATTGGGCAGTGGTTGTAAATAATCCACATACAATCACATCCTACCTAAACAGGACTGTTCAACCATTATTATATGTCTTTGCAACCTTATAGATATTTTCGTAGTAGTGGTCTTTGGTACAACCCATGTACCCAATGCATGGAATTCCCGTTGGGGAAAATTCAAAATTGTGCATCAGTCTACTGTAACAAGTGATGAAATTCGATGGTAATTAATATGATTTTTTTAATAGTATATAAAATAGACCCAATCAGGTCCAGTTAATCAGATTTGACATTTTTATCAAATAGACCCAACCAAGCCCATCTTAATTATCATTCTTATATGGTTTGTGAAAAAATTGGTAGTGGTTAAAAGCTTTATCGGTTCAAGATCATCCCGGTTAAAATCTCTTTTAGTTTATGAGTTCAACATGGTATAAAAGCTTAATAGGTTTGAGATCAACATAGTGAAAATTTCAGTTTAGTTTTTGGTCAACCCGTGTAAAACCTCGATTCATTCATAGGATAACCAACTCAAAGCCCTATTTTGGTTTGATATTAGCTTGTGCAAAATACTTGTTTGATTTGGAGACTAACTACTTCAAACCTCATTTGTTGTTTGGTTGGAAGTAAGCTTGAAACATCATTTTCCTGTATAAGGGGGTTTATGGGCATAACCTTCTAAAAACACTCAAGTATAGTGGATACTCTCAAGAATAATTCTCAGGGATAGGATTGGATCTTTTTGGACAAACTCGTATAATTCTCGGTGTTATTTCCCTTTCCCTTTCTCTTTTATTTTCCAATTATTTTTCTTTACTTTGAATTTCCGCTGCATATTTTCAAACATTTTTATAAAATAGTTTTAAACTCTGATTTCTCCAATGATTTAATTTAAAATCATCAATTTTCGAAACTTCACAATTACCCCCTCTTGTGTATAGAGTCACATGTCCAATAATTTTCAACGAAATTAAATTTCCTTACCTTGAAAAAATTCTCTATCACACAAATATGTGTCAGGAAATTCATCAAAAGCTCAGAGCAATTCTACCCTACCTCTAACTATATGTAGTCCAACTCAATTAGTAGAGCAAACTCATGCCACGTGTCACATAAACACAAATTCTGGCATAATTTGACAAAGGACATTCACTTAAACTGAGCTAGTACAAACATATGAACCATCAAACATCCATAATTAGTCTCAACCTTTCACAAGTACACCTACTCACAATTTCATCCCCACACATATCTCTCTTGCCCACACTAGTCTACAAATAGCTTAGCTCTTAAGTCACCTCAATATATTGATAGTACTTCTTCTTTCTTTCACTATGTTATATCTTAGTTTGTAGAGCCTCAATCTCATTGCTTTTATAGTCAACTCACAAAACCTATTTCAGTGTCAATGATCATCCAATGCTTACAAGAGTCAAAATTGGTAAATACGTACAAAATATTTCTCTTGTTCACATAGAACCTAACACTAAAAAGAAAGCCTAAGATCAACCTGAATGGATTGAAGCTATGAAAACTTAGTACAATTCACTTATAAAAATGACACTTGGACTTTAGCAAATCTTCCTTCTAACTGAAAATCCATTGTGTGCAAGTGTATTTTAAGAGTAAGAGAAAATCCACATGGAAGCATTAGCAAGTATAAGTCAAGACTTGTAGCAAAAGAATATCTTCTACAACAAGGTTTTCATTTTCATGAAACCACCTCACCTGTTATGAAATATATAACCATTTGAGTTATCTTGTCCATGGCTCTTACATACAAGTGAACATTTCAACAAATATATATTAACAATGTCTTTGTCAATAGTGAATTTCAAGAGGTAGTCTGTATGCAACAGCCACTTGACTTTGTCAAATCTAACTCAACTCTTGAAATCAAGTTAACGAAGGCCCTTAATGGTCTAAATCAGGCTTCAATTTCCATGGTATGAAAAGCTTCATCAAGCTTTGCTTTACTTTATCTTTTTGTCCTGCAAATTTTATCATTCACTCTTTGTGTACAAGCATCGAGACATCATACTATATGCATTGGTTTATGTTGATGACATACTCACTACTACAGAAAATACCCGTCGTAAAACAATCTTACAATGTCCTCCTTGTTAATCATTATAATATCTTATTTTTGGACGCTTTTTTTTATTTTCAATTTTAAGCCACTTTTCACCACGATTGGAATTTCCAATCCTGATAAAAAGTGGTGCATGGTCATGAGTTCGAATCTCGTTGTTGTTGTTGTTGTTGTTGTTCTACTACTGTATTTTTTATATTTTATTATAAGACATACAAAAACGTTGTTTAATATAACCGTTGTTCTATGTAGCGCGCTATCCACTTGACTACTATGATTGAAAGTTCCAACTGTGGTGAAAAGTCACTCAGGGTCATGGGTTCAAATCCTAGCACCTACAATTTTGTTTTTGTATATTCTTAAGCCACTTTTCACAACGGTTGAAACTTTCAACCGTGGTGAAAAGTCACTCGGGACCATGAAGAAGTATAAGCGTATTTATTGAGTTTCTTCACCATCCTTAAACAAATCTTGGTCGTCCATTTAGTGATTATCAACGTAAGGCACTACCATTAGTGATCCGCGTAAAAACTTAAACTTAGACGAACTTCCAACTAAATGAAGTTCATCTTCTACCTCCAAACATCATCTTTCATTTATGACACTCTATTTCTCCACTAAACCAACCTCAAAAATATCATTTCTACCATAAAAAACCTCGAAAAATATCATTTCTTTTATTAACAAATTTCAAAACACCATCATCACTTCTCCAACATTAACGAGACAAGGAAAGTATGGATTCAAGTTAACAATATTAGTTTTTTTTTATCCTTGTTGTTGTTGTTATTATTGTTGTTTTATTGTTGTTTTGTTATTGTTCGAGTTTTTGTTATTATTCTCGTTGTTGTTGTTCTTGTTGTTTTTCTTTTTGTCGTTATTGTTCTTCTTCTTCTTCTTGTTTTTATTATTCTTGTTATTGTTCTTGGTGTTCTTGTTGTTGTACTTGTTGCTCTATCTACTATTGTTGTTCTACTATTTTTTATTTTATTTTATAAAAAGATACACAACAACAGTTGTTTAATACAACTATGGTTGTATGTAGTACGCTATCTAATTTATAACAACAGTCACACGTACGTTATGGAAACAAGTGTATATACAGTCACACGCTACCTAACAACTGATGTTCTATCGTCATTATATGTGTTTTCAGTAGTAGTAACTTCTCATTGTTACATCATATAAACTCGGTCATTATCTTATCACCTAACTCCATGATAAGTTTGTACTGAAAAAGCTTGGGATACCAAAATATTTTCTTGGCATTGAGATGCATCATCGGTCAAATGGCTCCATGTTTCTGACATAAATAAAGTATATAAAAATCTTTTGTCCAAGTTTAACATGGTTGATGCCAATGGGGCGGATACACCTATGTTCAACCATTGCAAGCTGAGCAAACATGTCACTGAAAGAATAACCAATATTTCATTATATAGGTCTATAGTTGGCCGAGGATCTTCAATATGTCACGCTACACATGATATTTCTTATTATACAATAAAGCTTGTCTATTTATGGCAAATCCTGTTGTAACTCATTGGAGAGTAGTCAAAAGAATACTCAGGTACATAAGTGGTATAGTCACTCGCAATCTAATGCTTTCACCAACTAATCTTCTTTAAAAAAAATTCTTTTGGGGGCTACAATGATTCAGATCGAACCAATGGTCCCGATGATAAAAGATCATCATCAAAATCATGTGTTTACTTTGATCCTAACCTAATTTCTTGGAGAATAAAGAAGCAATCACACGTGAAACGATCAAGCACTAAAGTAGTGTATTGGGTTTGACACATACTACTTTTGAACTACTATGGATTAAGTCTTTTTCATCTGATTTTCACATCAACTATGTTGCCCAAACATTATAGTGTGATAATCTAAGTGCGATTATGTTTTTCTATAACCCCATAGTGCATGTTACGACCAAGAACATGAGCTAATTGATATCCATTTTGTTTGTGAAAGAGTAATAGCCAGCAAACTCCACATTCAACCAATAAAATATTCTAGGTCCAACACAAATAGCAAAAACACTCACAAAACCTTTGCCAACGAATATATTCCAAGACTTTAAAGATGTCTCTCTTCACCAACCATTAGCCTGTGGTAGGGTATTAGATATAACCATAAAGTAGAATAACTACTTTTGGAAAGTTTATTAGGATTGATTAAAGCAGTTAAGAAAGTTAGTTAATTAACTTCATGACTTGAATAAATACACACTAACCATCCACATGCTTTGCAATGAACTAAAACACTCAATACAAGAAGATCTTTCTAATCTTCTTTCCTATGCTATGCTTAGTTCATTCAATACTTTTATATTTAAAAATTAATCAGGATTTTTAAAGTTAAAAATATGATCTAGAATCAAAATTGCAAGAATGTGCAGGAGGAACGTAAAACCCAAAATTTAAGAGGATAAATATATTTTCATTCATGATCAATCAGGAGGATAAATATACATATTAAACCCAAATTATAAAATAGTGGAGCTAGATTTATATCACTTACAATAAAATCAAAACTCCAATACATATGAAAATTCTTTTTACTATTCTAGAAATGATGTCACGACAATATAATAAAGAAGCAAATATAAAATCTCCTTACCAGATGATACACTACTATAAACTAAATTACTATCATTATTATTTAATCACTGAATTATTCTCAGAAATATTTGAATATATTGCATAATTCAAGAGCTTGGTTTCAACGTGTTGCCAATATCTATCACGAATCGATATTTGACATCTGCTTTGAGTAGTCTCTCCATTGCAGTGTTGACATAATCAATCGGAACAATCTCAATATCAGGTTTCACATCGTGTTTAGCAGCAAAATCAATCATTTCTTGTGTCTCCTTTATCCCTCCAATCATACTCCCGCCTATTATCTTCCTCCCTATCAATAATATGTAAAATACTTGTAAGCTTCAAAGTTCATAGTTTAAATTTTAACATTTAAAATGCATATTTAATTTAACATCATATGTAGCTATTATGTATATACCTGCAAGTAAAGGGAAAGCAGGAAGCTCCAGAGGCTTCACTACTGCACCAACTATTACAAGTTTTCCATGAGATTTGAGTAAACCAATCAGTGGTAAGAGAGGATGTTCTGCTGAAACTGTGTCAATAATACCGTCCAACGTACCTATTGCAGCCTACAAAATCATCTTTAATATTAGTTAATCGATTACGCATTTCACAGTTAACTAAGTAACCTATTGTATTGTACCTTCATTTGATTCACGTTACGGCTTAACAGAAATGATTCAGCTCCTAAGTATTCTATTGCTTCCTTTTCTTTATTAGGCGAAGTACTAATTACTGTGACATTAGCACCGAAAGCTTTGGCGAATTTCACAGCCAAATGACCAAGTCCACCAAGACCAACAACACCTATATTCATACCAGGCTTGTCAAGTCCAAAATATCTAAGAGGACTATAAACTGTGATTCCAGCACAAAGGAGTGGTGCAGCAACATCAAGAGATAAGCTATCAGGAATGGTAATCACAAAGTGTTCGTCTGCAACCATTGAGTCGGAGTATCCTCCGTATGTGACCGTGCCATCACGATACTCGGCACTAGATGTGGCTGTATATTGTGGACAGTAATTTTCAAGATCGTCATTACAGTTTTGGCACGATCTGCATGAATCAACCATGTAGCCCACACCAACTTTGTCTCCAACTTTAAACTTTTCTACTTTGCTTCCAACTTCTGTTACTACACCCACAAGCTCATGCCTGTATATATATTACATCAGTTACAACTGTCTTTTGTAATATATTTTTTTCTTTCAAATATTATGGAACCTTGATAGATGTTTAGTTATATTAGATGTGCATGTAAATTGTCCAAAAAATATGAAAGGTGTATTGAAGTAAAGAAAAAAATAATTTTGTTTAAATATTTGTTTGAATTATTTGACACACGTCGAATGAAAAAAAATTTAAAACAAAAAAGAATATTTACCTTCCATTTTCTTTACTTTTCTTACTTTTTTAATAAATATTTTACGAGTATTATATAAGTGTCATACATCAACACGAGTCAAACACCATGTCTCGATTAATTCTTGAGTGGTCAGTGTTTGATAAAGTAATTGTAACCATAATAAGAGTTGAAAATATAAGTACCCAGGAACTAGTGGATAGATGGAATTGTCCCATTCATTTTTAGCCATATGAAGATCAGAGTGACATATTCCACAATACAATATCTTGAATGCTACATCTTTCTCACCTGTTTCCCTAAAATAATATTGATGCACCAGATTTCAACTAATTAGTAACCAAAAACATAAATCTTATCTAAACATCAAATATTAAATAAATGAAGACCTTCCATTCAAATTATTGTTGGAATCATTGAATTTAGTGAAAATAGATTATATAAATGAAGAGGTGAATGAATAAAGTGAACCTTCTAGAGAAATTGAAAGGTGAGAGAACACCAGTAGGATCTCTAGCTGCCCAACCAAAAGCCTTCTTAGTATGCACTACTAAGTTACCTTCTGCTGCCATTTCAATTCTCTTTAATATGAAAACAAAATATACAAGAAATAAAGTTATGAATGGAATATTATAATTATTGCGAAGATGTGGGAAACACTTTCTACTTATAAATATATTTATAAGGGCTAGCTGGTAAGATTTAGTTCACGTCTTCATGGCATGTGTCGGTATTTAGGGATGTCAGTTTGGACCTGTTAATGGGGATCCCCGCGGGGAACGCCCCGTTCGGGGCCCCAAAGATGAGGAATTTTCTCCCGTGGGGGCGGGGATGGGGAGAAAAATTCCCCCGAGAGCATTTCGGGGACGGGGACGGGGAATACACCCCCCGCCCCGCGGGGACCCCGCCCCACCTATTATTTTAATATAGTTAATTTAATATATATATATTTTAGATTAGGTTTTTTAGTCATTTCCTTTATGTTTATTTATAAAAATAAATAAATAAATATTCATGTATTTATTAAGAGAGAGAAATAAATAAATAAATATTATTATTTTGTGTTCCATTAGTATTTTTAATAAAAAATAATAAATGTCAAATACTAGTATTTTTTAATAACATAATAAATATGTGAATTCTTTGTGCTTTTTATTTTTATAGAAAATATAAACATTTTAAAAAAATAAAATATTAATGAATAAATGTAGGATCTATGGGGATCCCCGCGGGGAACGGGGATCCGCGGGGAACGGGGATGGGGATAGAAATTCCCCCGTGACGGAGATCGGGGACGGGGACGGAGAATGAATTTGATGGCGGGAAAAAAGATGGGGAAGTGTCCCCCGGCCCCGCCCCGCCCCATTGACATCCCTATCGGTATTGCACCTAATGTAAACATACAAATAGTTCTCGTTTTAAATGACTACCTTTTTTGTGTGGTGAGATTTAGTTCACGTCTTCATGGCAAGTGTTTATATACATATTAAAATATTCAAAAAAATGTAAGTATAAAATAATATTGAATTCATTTTGTTGATTATTGGTGTGTTTTATTTTATTATAAATATAAAATAAAATATTTTTTTTGGGAGAAAGAGTAGTGACGGTTTTTGTTATGATTTTCCTTAAAACACTGTATAATAAAATACAATAAAGCTTATACGGAAGACAAACAAACAACAAACAGTTAGTTATTTTTTTTAGATGGTAAAATTAATTAGTTAGAAAATACAATATTATTATTTATAAATTTTTTAATTTTTCTGTAAAATATTAACTTTTTCTGATGTTAAAAAATTAAAAATGTCAAAAATAAATAGAATAAAATATATTAATTGTCAAAATAATTTTTTTTTTCATATTTAACCACTTAACTTAAACCGGTTTTGAGAATTTTCTATCATACAATAAAATATTTTAAAAAAATTCCCACGTACAATATCTATAAATAATTTATTTATACATAGCACGGAATTAAAGTACTAACTACACTCTAGAACACAAAGCGAAGTATGAGACGTGAGAGAACTCTAGGCGAAGTATGAGACGTGAGAGAATTTTTAACATAAAAACTTTATAAAATATAGTTTCAATAAATTTTCTCCTATTTAAAATAATTGATATACCAAAAGTCTTTTCCTAACAAACATGTAGCACATGTAGGTTTGCCCCCACTTACTAACATATTCACACACTCGTACTTATTTGGAGTATCACGAAGATATCTCCTATAAAGACCATAACCATGAAAAGAAATTTTACATTGTTTATTAGAAAAGCAATGAGTGAAAGTGTTTAGAGTTGTAACTTTTACCTAAAGAATTTTTTTCAATATAAGGACAATTTTTTTTCCAATATAAGGACATTGAGTCCTTTATCACTCAAGTGAACAAAACATATTTGTTGTGAACTGCTTGTGTTTCACGTGGCTTCTACTTTTTGTAACATCGCTATTCTCATTTGCAATTTAATTTTTTTAAATAAAGAAATATAATTGTGTTTTTTGGTTAAAAAATATTCCTTTTTAATAACACACATGTTGACTTGGCCCATATATATAGTATTAGGATATCCGTGTATTCATATGTATTTATATGGATACTAATCAGGTATGCACATTTTTTTAACATATATAAATTGTTGATTTTAAAAATATTTATATTATCAATACTAACAGATAATGAAGATAAGATATGTACATGATCAGTTTATCTTGTCGTGACACGTGTCATATTAGTATTAGTATTGATTATATTTTTAGTTTGTTAAGTTAGTTACATTGAGTTGTTATATATAAACTGTTTTGTAACTGATTTCAACACACAATGAATAATGCTATCATCTTCATCTCTATTTTTCTTTCCTTTGGTTGTTCAAGCTCTTCATCAATAGAGTTTGTGATTGCTATGGTATCAGAGCAGGTTCGACCAGCTCTGTTTCCGCCGCTTGCTAGAAGTTATACTTGCTAATCTATGGCAGTAGCAGTTTCTTCGTAATCTTCTTTCTTGATTTTGTTATCCTCCTTTTTCATTCTCTTTCGATTCTTCTTGAATTAGTTTTCTATTTCATTCATTTTGCATTCGATTCTTTCGCTCGATTCGCATTCGATTGATTGATTTTCATCATCATGACGAGAAACAATAACAATAGCAATAGTAACAATCAAGTTGTTGACACGCTTGATCCTTATTACGTTCATCCATCGGAAAACTCATCAATTGTGTGTGTAACGCCGATGTTATCAAGGGAAAACTATCATGCTTGGTCAATGAATATGAAACGAGCATTAACTATGAAGAACAAGTATAAGTTTGTTGATGGATCCATAAAAGTACCAGATGCTGGTGATCTCAATTACAGAGCATGGCAGATATGCAATAATCTGGTACACACTTGGATTATTAATTCCATTAATCCATCAATTGCACAAAGTGGTGTTTTCATTGATAATGCAATTGATATGTGGAATGATCTTAAAGATAGGTTTATGAGAGGTGATAGGATACGAGTGACACAGTTGTATCAAGAAATTTCCAATTTAAAGCAAGGTGCTAACAAAGTCTCAGATTACTTTACTGAATTGAGAAGCTTATGTGAGGAATTTGATCAGTACAGACCTATGCCTACTTGTACTTGTAGAATAACTTGTACATGCTTAGCTATGAGAAATAGTCATTCTTATAGAGCTGAAGATAGAATTATTCAGTTCTTGATTAGATTGAATGAAGAATATCATGAAGTAGTGTCTCAAGTCCTGTTAATGGATCCTTTTCCTCAAATCAACAAAGTATTCTCCATGGTGATGCAACAAGAAAGAAGGATATGTGGAGGAATATCCATTAGTAACAGTTCAGCTGAAGATGGCATAGGAATGGTGAATGTTGTTGAATCTAATAAACAGTTTAGTAAAGGTATAGGAAGAGGTAGCTTTAATGCTAGTAATAGAGAGGACACATTTCAGAAAGAGGAACGGGAAATGTGAAAGTATGCACTTACTATGGAAATAAAGGTCACATTGTTGACAGTTATTACAAAAAGCATGGATATCCACAAAGTTTTGGAAGAGGTGGTGGTACCAATTCCTATGTGAATCAGGTTGATGCAGATGAGTCAGATAGCAAGTCTGTTGCGGCATCTATAAGTGAAAGCATGACTCTGACAAAAGAGCAATATCAAAACCTGATGAGCTTGCTTGAGAGGAGCACAAGTTCAGTCAATTTAACAAAAGGCGGTAAACCTTTTCTTGCTAGTTTTAATAGTCATAATAATTCTAGTTGGATTATGGACACTGGAGCAACTCACCATATCTGTCATGATCTTGATTGGTTTGTGAAATATGGTGACATTACACCTATAATAGTTAATCTACCTAATGACAATTCTATATCTTCCAATGTGTGTCGTAGTGTGAAATTGTCTCATGATCTTACTATTGACAATGTGTTTTTCTTGCCTCAGTTTGAAGTAAACTTGATTTCAGTTTCAAAGTTGTGTACAAAACAGAACTGTAGGCTTGTATTTGAAACTGATCAATGTGTGATACAAGAAAATAAGGGTTTGAAGAAGATTTCTTTGGCTAAAGAGATTGATGGTCTTTACTACTTGGAAACATGTGAAGGAAGCACAAGTGCAGTAGGGCATGTTTCAAGTATCTTTGTCCACAAGAATAAAGAGCTGGCACCTGGAGTCTTGTGGCACTTAAGACTAGGGCATTTATCATATGAGAGAATAAAGTATATGAAAAAGATATATAGATACATTCCAGATAGTGTACATAGTGCTTGTAATGTATGCCAACAATCTAGACAGAAAATTTTACCATTTCCTATCAGTAATAATAATGCACACCATGTATTTGATCTAATTCATTTAGATATATGAGGTCCTTTTAACACTCCATCTGTACATGGTTTTCGATATTTCTTGACTATTTTGGATGACTATAGTAAACATATTTGGACTGTCATGATGAAATCCAAGCCTGAAACATCTCAAAGAAGAAAAGAGTTCATATCAATGGTAGAAAATCAGTTTGAGAAAAGAGTTAAGACTCTAAGGAGTGATAATGGCTTGGAATTTATCATTCCGTCTTACTATGCTTCCAAGGGCATAGTGCATCAGAAAAGTTTTGTCTACACTCCACATCAGAATGGTAGAGTGGAGAGAAGACACCGACATATTCTAAATATTAGCAGGGCACTCATGTTCCAATCTGGATTACCAAAGATATACTGGTCCTATGTTGTGCAACATGCAGTATTTCCCATGAATTAGAATACCTACTAAACTCCTCCAAAATAAATCCTCCTATAGGCTTATGTATGGTGATTTTCCTGACCTAGCATCTCTAAAGGTTTTTGGGTGTCTTAGATATGCTTCTACATTAGCTATCAATATGCACAAGTTTGATCCTCGTGCAAGGAAGTGTGTTTTCTTGGGATACAAGGCAGGTATGAAAGGATATGTCATGCTTGATATATCTAACTATGAAATAGTTATTTCTAGAAATGTTAAATTTGTTGAGATGGAATTTCCCTGTCATAACAAATCTCTTAATGCCATCCCTCAT